GTCACAATCTCGCGCTCCGTGAGTTCGAGCCCCGCGTCGGGCTCTGGGCTGATGGCTCAGAGCCTGGAGCCTGTTTCCGATTCTGTGTCTCCCTCTCTCTCTGCCCCTCCCCCGTTCATGCTCTGTCTCTCTCTGTCCCCAAAATAAATAAACGTTGAAAAAAAAAAAAATTCTGAAGGAAAATGATTTCCAATCTGGAGTTCAATACTGGCTAAAACTATCAATCAAATATAAGGACAAAATAGATACATTTTCAAATATGCAAAACCTTACCTCCCATCTAGTTACTAGAAGATGTACCAGAGTGAAAAAATAAACCAAGAAAGAAGAATACATAGGATATGGCACAAGAGATCCCATTATAAGAGAGCAATGAAGGAACACTGGGTGGTGAAGGAAAACGCCAAGATGACAGATGGACACCAAACCATAGAAAGCAGTCAGTACAGAACCAAGTACTGACTCATGCCAAGATACTTTTTTCTTTTTAATGTTTGTTTATTTTTGAGAGAGAAAGAATGCAAGTTGGGGAAGGGTGGAGAGAGGAGGACAGAGGATCTGAAACCAGCTCCACACTGAAGGCAGTAAGCCCGATGTGGGGCTTGAACTCATGAACCGCAACACAACCTGAGCTTAAGTTGGATGCACAATCCACGGAGCCACCCAGGTGCCCTTCGTGTTTTATTTAACTTGAGATTAATACCCAGGTGAGCCTAGATCAGATTGTTGTCCATATTTTGTCTTGGCTTCCACATGCCTTACTACTGGCATCAGCTAAAGACGCTCATTTCACCTACAGAAATTGTTCTGTTTTGGTATATCCTTGAGAGCCAGGATGCAGTGATGAATTTGGAAACAGGGGACAGCTCTTCCCCTGACAATATTTCGGCTGGACATTCAGACCAGGCCCGTTCTTCCAGATGCCCCTTTGTCCTCATGACCTTGCCCACAGATGCCCTACAGAGTTGGGCTCCTGGTTAAAAACCCATAGATAATCTCTAAGGCCCAACCACAGACAATTACAAAGGTTTACCTGACAGGCCTCACTGAGACAGCTACCCTCCCCCCACACACCTGGTGCATGGCAGTCTCTGAGGACTCAGGATGTCCTGGCCAGTCATGGCCTTCACATCTTTGCATTCCTACCCCCAGCTGCCTTCATTCCTAGGTCTCCTTATCTGAGACTTTGGGCAGAAGTCCTCTTCAGATGCCTCTGCCAAGGGCTCCTTATAGAGGGATGAGAGGGGGAGCTCTGAAGATACTTTCCCCCAGTCTGACTCAGTACCCAGTACTTTTCCATTCCTAGCCATCTCCCCTTTGCCCTTCCCCCACCTACCTCAGGGTCCATAAAACTGCTGTAGCCTTTTGTTCAGGGCTTCCTCAACAGTAAGATGACCCCCATGTCTACACTGGTCCCCCACTTCTCAACCAGTGTACTGTTCCATGGGGGGAAGTGGGCCAGGGATAGTCTGTGTTTTCTCCAGTTTTAGACTCATGCTACATTATCACAGTAAGTGACAGAAGGCTTAACTCTTTTGTTTCTGGCTTGTTGCTTTAATGGACGACTCCAATACTTGACAGCTCAGCTCCCTCTCCTAGCTCAGCTGAGCTCCTAACAGTCCCTGAAGGTTCCCTCAGAGAACCCTCCTTCCTGCAGAATGGAAACTTGCACATACCAAGTCTTATGAAACTGGCCTCCAGACACTGTTAGTCTGTAGCTGAAACATGTCAGGGTATCTAATGAAATAGATAACTGTAATCATGAATTAACAAAACAGCTTTTAGAAAATAACAACATATGTTTTATTAAAAACAAAAACAAAAACAGAACACTGAGAATTCCAGAAAAAGAGATACATCATGAATAGGTTGTATTGACAAAACGTCTTACTTCATCTCAAGTCAGAGCTTGGCAGCCCAGCCCCATTTCACCATTTGGCTGTGTTTTCTGTTTCTCCTTCCATTTTTTTTTTTTTTTTTTTTTTTTTTGTGAAATGGATTGACTTATCTGACTTCAGAAAACTTATATCTGTACTATTTAAAAAGAAATATACTTCTGGAGTAAAAATGTCATACTCAATCTGTCTGTAAATTTATATAATACAATTTATAAAAAGATTCTAACCACAGTTATAGATATCCTCCTCTTTATTCTTAACCCACATGTTAAGAAGTCTGCAGCTTTATCCCACTTTATAAAGTTAGAAGGTTGACAGAACTAACCACCAAGAAAGAAAACAATAAGAACTACCTAGCAATTTAAGACCTCTAAAAATACTCATGTTGAGAACATTCTAAAATACGATGAAAAAAAGTGATAGAAAAGACGTGACTGAAGACTCTCTTCAACACAGTATAAACCAAGATCACCACTGGACTCTAATTTACACATCTGCCCTCAGGGCACATTGCAATAGTCAAGGCTCCCTAGAAGGGGCTCTGTTAATGTACAAGAACTAGATATTCATTTGGGGCTGGAAAGAAATGAGTTTAGGATGCATTTGGCTCAAGCTAAAGTGATTACTCAGGTAGGGTTAAAAAAATGCCCGCAAACAGAGCAAAGGGAGAAGGAGAGAAGTGAAAACTTGTGGCACTACTGCAGGTCTATATCCAAGCCCAGGTGCATAAGGCAGACCACCCTCAGGGTCCAAGAGTCAAGCAACACCTGAAAGGCTGGGGCACAAAACAGGCAAGTGGGTGAAGCTGAAACAGGCTGCAGCCCTCGGAGCCAGGAAGAGAAACCAAAAACAGCTATTTGGAAAGACTCAAATGCGTAAGGTAATCACTCCCTCATACCGAGTAGCAGTGGTCTATAGATTTTTTTTTTTTTACACTCAAAGTATAAGAAATGAGACTTTACATTACAACTCAGCACATGCACATGTATACACGTATATACAATAAATAGCAAATAGAAGTTTCTCTAAATCTTACCTATCTTACAAAATGTTGTATAATCTATTATTTACATTTGTATTCTTTTGTTTTTCATGTGAAAAATACTGCTGTGCCAAACCAATTAAATTAATTCTAAAATCACCGAGTAGGCCTTACCCTGCAGTTTGACAGATGCTATGCTAAAGGAGTTACTGTCTAACTGTAGTGACAGGTGAAAATCAAGGGTCTCATGAGATCGTAGTTTAGTTTGAATCCTGTCTCTCCGTTGGTCAAATTTCTGAATGTCTTCGCTTGCTTTGGAATAGGTCTCAAACCGGCCAAGGTCATGCACCAACCAGCCAAACCATTTCTCTAATCTTAATCTTCAACAATGTTCCTCAATAATCTGCATCCCAGTAAAACTCATCTGCTTTCTACATCCAACGTTTTCTACCTTTGCCTCTCCCTGGAATTCCTTCCTCCCCCACCTATCCAAAATGCCCTGACCCTCCAAGGGACGGCTAAAGCAACCCTCCACCCAGAACAAACTTCTGCCACCAGCACTAGAAGCACGTTATCCTTGTTGGCTGTCTCCCATTTACATGCGCTCAGCACCACTTTCATCTCCCACCTCACCTCACCACATGCTGTCAAAACCCAAGCGCACCAGCTCACAAAGAAGCCACTTGGTACGTACTTTATGTGGACTAGACAAATGAACATGTGTCTCCTATGTAGGGAGAAAACTGCTGTCTGGGGACAGTGGGGGCTGAAGACTGAGAAATCTCAGGTCAGGGCCTAAACCACTGAGAACCTCTCAGTCAAAACCACAAAATGGAGTCTCTGCAGCGGATGTCATACCCTTGGCCTTCAAAACGATGCATTATAAGGAAATGATACTGCATGCTTATTAAATATTTAGAAATTCTTCTTTCAGTTAAAAAGGTAGCATAACTATAGGTTGGCAATTTAGCAACAATGCCATATTGTTGTTCCATATTTTAACTTCTTTTCCTCAAAATCAAATAACCCAAACGCAATAAAGCTACCCATCCTTTAGACAGCTAGGCAGTACTTAGCAAAATGATGGATCCCCTCCCAAAGCAGAGACCTTAGGCTCATCATAATACAAGGCACACTGGCCATGCTCTCCTTCAGGTGGGCTTCCTCTTGACCAATTAACATATACTTCTGGTTAAGATATCTGTGTGGCTTGTTTCAAAAACAAAATTTTCCACATCATCTTTTAATCACGCATTTTCATTTCAGTCTCCTCCAGTGACATGATTAAAAAAACTTTGTTATAGCTAAATCAGAAATATTAGCATCAAAGTATCTTAAATCTATATGCAAATATACTCTAAATTGATCTTCTAATAACTTCCTCATCTGACAAATATTTATCAAGTTACTGTTATCTGCTCAAACACCGAGCTAGGAATGAAAGAGATCTTTGAGGCACTATACTGAAAATACCAGTACTTCCAAGGCAAAGATAATGGTATAACAGCAGATTCAAACTCATTAACCCAAATTGAAAGTCATATACCTATGCTCATACTTCTGTACTACAAGGAATCTATAAGCAATATAAAAAAATTCTAAACATATTCTCAAGGTAAAATTGTTCAAACAAGTACACAATGTAACAAACTGTCAAAAAAAGAAGAAAAATAAAGATGCTTACAAAATTTGTCAATCTTTTACTTTAAGGACTATTATTCAACTGTGAAGTATATCAGGTCAGATATTAAATATCTGTATAAAATATATTTCTATTTTAACATCAGCAAAATAGAATTGTTAACACCATTTGATAATGAGTGGTCCTTTCCTTATATTTTATGTAAACAACATATTATTTATGCTTAAAAGCCTATAAATATTTAAAATTAATCAAATATCCCCACCCTTCTCTATTTAAGCCTCTAAAATTATTTTAAGTTTGGCTGGCTATGCCAATGGTGAAATCATTCAAATAGGAAAGAATTTTGTATCTACAAGTAGATCTATTAGAAATATTATAAAACTGAACCAAAAGTTAATCTTTATCTCACCATTTTTATTGTTCTAGTATATAGTGTTATAATACATACCAAAATATTCTCGGTGAATAGTCTTACCTTAAATATGTGCCATATATGAAGAATAATGCCATCATTAGTCCATTTAAAATAAAAATTACAGCCACATAAAAGCAAGCAGGATCTCCCAATCCTTTAAAAATAAAAAATAAAAAAAAAACATATGTTCTAACTATAAATTACTCTGTGTGTCTGGCAATTTATATTAAAATGTGCTTATTTTGAAAATGGCACAGATATCTTCAATGGTTGCCTTGGTTCCCATAGGAACACATGACACTACTGCAGAACAGAGATGAGAACAGGGCAGTAGCTGTGATGGTTTTATTTTTTATTTTTATTTTTTAAAGTTATTTATTTACTTATTTATTTGTTTATTTATTGAGAGACAGACAGACAGAGAGAGAGAGACAGAGACAGAGAGAGACAGAGAATCTCAAGCAGGCTCCAAGCCCAGCGTACAGCCCAAGGTGGGGCTTGATCACAGGACCCTGAGATCATGATGTAAGCTGAAGTCAGGAGTCAGACACCTCCCTGAGCTACCCAGGCGCTCCAACTGCCGTGGTTTTAAAACAGGGCTACAAATTCAGATACTCCTCCTTTCGAGGTATTGGGGAAGGGGAGGGTCTATGCTCATGCTTTTGAGTCTGGCTGGGCTTGTGACTGCTTTAACAGACGATGGCAGAGGCCATACTATGTGACTTCTAAGACTAGAAGAGGCCAAGCAGTATCCAACTTGGAGTCCATGAAAAGCCTGATTACCCTGAGGTACTATCCGGCTTAAAAGCCAAAGATGCATGGAAAAGGCATATGTAGGTGTTCCAACCGACAGCCCCAAATGAGCCCAGCCTCGCAGGGCAGAATGTAAGTGAAGCAGTCTCCAATTAATTCCAGTGTTCCCAAGCCATTTGAATCTAACAGAAGCCTCTGACACAATATCACAGAAAGAACCTTGCCTTCACAGCTTTCAATAGGACTGAGTCCTTCTCCTCTGGTAACCGTCCAACATATCTTGGTTTGAAGACCAATCAAGTCCATTGTTTTGGTATAAATCCGGTACCAGCTGGCTAAGATTACCTATTTTTAAGAAAATAGAGGCATTTTTTTAGATTTTTAGAGAAAAGATATTATCATCAACAGTTTCATTACTAGAATATTTTTGAGATATTTTGATAATTATTAAACCTTCCTTTCCTACACTTACCCACTTGGTTCCCTTTAAATTTAGTCAAGTAAGCTTTACAATCCCCTACATAGATTCTTCATTAGCCAGGCTTCAACTGTTCACCCATACATAAGAATAAAATATAACATGAAACACGCAAGATTTATATTTTTCAAACGCTATAAGATTCTACTAAGGAACATAAAAGAAGAGATGAACAAACAGAAAGATAGTTTGTCCTCTTGAATAGATCTAATTTCTCAAGATGTGACTTCTCCCTCAAATTAACTCATAAACATAAAACATTGCTAAGCAAAATCCCAAGTGTCTATCTAGAAGTGCTATGTGGCGATATAACAAGGAGAATAACCGAAGGGAATATTCTATCTAACAGATACTAAAACTTGCTACTTAAAAAAATTAAAACAGTGTGATGCGGGAAGAAGAGCCAAACAGATCAAAGTAATCATGGCAGAGGCCTCGAGGAGTGTTACCATATCCTCCTCCAGGGCTGAGACACTCATTTCTTCAGGGGCTGGGAGGGTTGGTGGCTGACAGCTCCCACCAGAGTCCCACTCTGGGAACTACCCTCAACTGGAGGACAGTAAATTCATTATAGGTTACACCCTGACCCAAAGGTGACCCAAAGGCAACCCACGGGTAACTGGGCATTCAATACCAGACTAGTCAATAGGGAGGGATGTAAAGGCCAAGGACAACTCCCAGCAGGGCCATCTCAGTTCCAGAGCTCTGGGTGGGATTGCCTGCAGCCTCTGTTGCGACTGCATCAGAGCCCAACTCCTCCAGCCTCAGCCAACTTCCTTCATCCCCTTTAGGTGTTGCCCCCAAGGGCACTCCTCTAGATACTTCCTATATGCAAATCTCCATCTGAAAGCCTGCTTTCCAGGACCTCAGCCTAACCCAATACAGAATACAAAGCCCCAAAACAGATGCAAGCATATATGTAGAATAATTCTGTATATAATAAAGAAAGCTACTTCAAATCAGTAGGGAGAAAGAAGATGGACCACTCATCAAAGTGTTAGGTTACACATGAGACCATTTTGAAAAAATATAAGGTTAGATTCCTATTCCAATACTGTGCAATAAAATAAATTCCAGAAATATTCAAAACATAAATGCCAAAAAAATAATTAAAATAAAGAATGAAGACTTTTTTACAAATATGAAAAATCATAAATTTAAAAGATTAATAGGTATGCTACTTCTATACAGAAAAAATACATACATATCATACACAAAGTTAAAGGCAAACAAAAACCGGAGGAAAAGGTTTACCCAAATAGCCTAGTATTAACATCCAGAATATAATAAATGCACCCCTACAAAATTGCAATAGGAATATAGACAAAGGACATAAACCATTACTTTTATAAGTAAAAATGCATTTTTAATGTATAGCACCAAACGAAATACATATATACACACATATATAGCAATGAGAAAAATATATCATGTGATTTCAATTTTTTTGTCTGCCAAATTGGCAGGGATTCAAGGAAACAAACATTTTCAAAAACACTGCCAGTGGTAATTTCGATTAGTATAACCTATCTAGAAAACATTTTAGCAACACATACCGAAGTCATTAAAGTATATATTTTGTTGAACCAAATAGCTCCACATCAACAAATTTATACTTTAAAAAACGTAAGGACATGTATAGAAATTTAGCTTCAAGAATGCTCATGCCAGTATTAGACTATTTAAAAAATTGAAAACAGCCAAAATTTTCATAAAAGATGGACTAAATAAACAATGGGAGATTGGATATACAGCCACCAAAAATGATGTTGCAGACGAAAAGATGACACAGGAAGATTGTTACAAATATCCTAAAAGACAAAAAGGACTTATAAAAGAATATTTGCTATGTGATCCCATTTCTGTAAAAATAAACGTATACACAGTTATAGAAAGTACTCATAAGCAGTACATTAGTAAAACAACACAGGGGTGCCTGGGTGCCTCAGCAGGTTAAGCTTCCAACTCTTGATTTCTGCTCAGGTCATGTTCTCACAATTCATGAGTTCAAGTCCTGCATTGGGATTTGTGCTAACAGTGTGGAGCCTGCTTGAGGTTGTCTCTCTCTCTCCCTCTCTCTCTCTCTTTCTCTCTCTGCCCCTCCCATTCACTCTCTCTCTCTCTCAAAATAAATAAACTTAAAAAAACAAAACCAAAACCAAAACACTGGAACTTGGCGGTTATTTGTCTCTACCTCCTCTATCTCTATCTCCTCATTAATCAATCAGCTAACTCACTGATCTGGATGGAGTTTGGGACTCCTCTCTCGTGGAATGGGAATAACGGAGAGCCCTGCTAAGTCCTGGTACAGAGCCCAAGCTTGAGATCCCCAGAGGCCAAGGCCCCCACCGCCCTAGCCGGAGAACATGCTGTCTAGCAGCTCAGGCAAGCTAAGAGGGGGGAGTCAGAGGGGCAGTGTGTTAACAGAGGAACCTCATATCAAGTCAAGGAGGATGTCACTGAGTCACATCTCAATTTAGCCCTGGAAAATGCTTAGGGATGTGTCAAATGAAGGCAGGGACAGTAAAAGAGAGGCCAAAAAAGTTACTGATATCATTGAGATCACCTCCTGGGTGGATCCATCTTTCCCCTCCCCACAAAAAGGGCATTCATTCAATTAAGTGAAGAATCCCAGACAGGGAAGAAACATTATTTGGCAAATGACATGTAATGGCACTCCCTTGCTATCATCTCTGTAAACACACCGTATCTAGATAGTTTTCAAATTTTCTAAACCATGAAATCATGACAGTTCCCATGAAACTGGCTAAAGCCCACCAAAATTAATAATTTTTTTCATAGTTCTTTCCAAAAGAAGACATATAATTTCTTTTTAAGTGGAAGATGAAATAGAATATATTGAACTATACCTTACATTTAGAATCAGCATTTAATGCAAGTAACACTTTAAAAAGTAAAAAAAAAAAAAAAAAAAAAAAAAAAATCACAATTGAAAAAGTAACTTACCTCAGGGTAAAGATTGAACCTTTTTAATGTATTAATAACAAGGGGGTATTCAGTCAGCTTATCATTCATAATCATCCATACTCCATTCAAAAATGAGGGTGCTTCCACAATAGTCTTAAAGTAGGAATAATACAGTCCCTGAAACAAACATATGTTATAGTTATAATAAAAAGCACATAATTACTATGCCTCTTATCAGCTTAAAAAAATATACTGTTTTTGAAAAATAAAGCAATCAGGCAAATAATAGCTTTCAGTTTCTGATCACTAATACAATCTTAGGTTACAAAAAAGAACTACATATGTTAGTATAACCTTGCCTTAATTAAAATAATTGAACTCAAAAAAAAATAAATTAAATAATTGAACACAAAATTTACTCAAAAATAGTTTTAGCATTTAAAATAATATAACTCAGACAGCATACATAATCTAAGAAACCCCAGGTCCCATACTAATTTAATTGTTAGAAAAGGCTACCTTATGAACAGGGTGAGTGAGTGGTTTACTACAGAACATAAATTACCATGATCCAAGAAATCTTCCCTCAGCAAAAATGTTTCCCCCTTCCTGCTTATCTGATTCCCCAAAATTCTGCTATCAGTCATCTTTCCTCCAGATTTGCATGTAAGAATGAAAATATATTAGGAAGGCTACATATTGATGTATTACATATCAATTATTACATTCAGATGCCAACCAGTTTTCCAGGCTGTTTTCTTTCCTTCCAGCTCAGAATACGGTAAGAACCCCATAGGACTGGGATCATGTGGGTCGGGGAAGACAGCAGTGGTACTCCCATTATGAGCGAATAGGACATATTGAGGTTGGAATAATACAAAGAACAAAAAATAAGCAAGTACTAGTACTTGCTCCCCTTGTGAGGGAGTATAAGTGGCAGTACGGGGCAAGACAGGAAACATACTGCATCTTCTATACAATTTTGCCCACAGCTGCCCTGGTGGCCAGGACACATCAGCTGTCAAATTCCATACTGGATTTAAAGCTCATAAATATGAAAGCAATTTGCATACCTGGATATTTACTGAAAACAACAACAAAAAAATGGTTCTTCCTACTATGGTATTTAGCTTTCACATCACTTTTTAAAAATATCTCCTACTGTAATGAGCTGAATAATATCCCCCAAAATTTCATACGCACTGGCACCTGTGAATGTGAACCTATCTGGAATAGGTTCCTTGAGGACATAATCAAATTAAAACGAGGACATCTAATAAGTGATATCCTTACAATGAGAGGGAAATTTAAACACAGAGACACAGGGGAGAATGTCTCATGATGACAGAGGCAGAGCCTGGAGTGACGGCAATTCCAAAGCCGGCCAAGGAATGCCAAGGATTGCCGGAAACCATGAGAAGCTAGGAAGAGGCAAGGAAGGACTGTCCCACAGAGCCTTCTGATAGAACGTGGCCCTGCCCACACTTTGATTTCACACTTCTAGCCTCCAAAACTCTGAGAGAATAAATCTCTGCTTTTAAGCCACCTGGTTTATTGTACCCTTGTTATGTTAGCCGTAGAAACCTACTACAACCTATCGTGTTTTATAGGTTTGTTTTGGAATCATGTAAATATCTTACTGAATTACAAAACAAAAATTTTTTAAACCCTAAACATCAAAATAAAGGAATTAACTATCAAGTTGGAAGATTTCAAATAACTGTAAGATACAGTAATTCTACTGTACATCCCTAATGGAATATATCCTGAAGTCAAAAAGAAATGCAAGAAAATCTTAAAATGTTTTCAATAATCATATGTTTAATAATACCTTTGGTACTTTTGTTCCTCAAAAACAAGTAACTTGAAACCAAGATTCCTAAGCTAACAATAAAGATATAAATTTAATACAAAGTAAGTAAAAAAACTCATCCTAAATTTGCATTTTAAAATATGAATATAAGATCATAATTTCTCTTTAAAAAATTGTTTCTTAGTTCTGTTTACTAAAAAGGCTTAGACACAATGGCCAATCTAGTATCAAATACATCTGAACCCAGAACAACACAGGTTTGAACTACGCAGTTCCACTCAGATTTTTTTGGATAAATACACTATATTTTCTCTTCCTTATGATTTTCTTAATAACATTTTCTTTTTTCTAGCTTACTATATGGGAAGAATATAGTTTATAATACATGTAATTGGGGCGCCTGAGTGGCGCAGTCGGTTAAGCGTCCGACTTCAGCCAGGTAACGATCTCGCGGTCCGTGAGTTTGAGCCCCACATCAGGCTCTGGGCTGATGGCTCAGGGCCTGGAGTCTGTTTCCGATTCTGTGTCTCCCTCTCTCTCTGCCCCTCCCCCGTTCATGCTCTGTCTCTCTCTGTCCCAAAAATAAATAAAAAACATTGAAAAAAAAATTTTTTTTAAATAATACATGTAACATACAAAATATGTGTTAATCAACTGTTCATGCTATTAGTAAGGCTTCCGGTAAACAGTAAGCTATTAATCATTAAATTTGGAAGGAGTCAAAAGTTATACGTGGATGTTTGACTGCACGGGGGTCAGGACCTCTAACCCCCTTGTTGTTCAAAGGTCAACTGTAATAGCAATAAACACCTCTAACACCAAAACTGTGGTCTCTAACTACCACTTGCTACTGAGAGAAATTGGGGCTCCTTGGAAAACTGGATGACTCCAGGTCTGGAAAGGATACACCTAATAGTACCAGAAAGTATGAAAGCTATAGAAGATTAGCAAGGTCACATCAAAGGGACACAAAGTCAATGCAAGGACTCTCATTAGTTAAAGACAGTTTTACAAGTTTACAAAACATGTTAAAATTCATCAGTTCATAATGATTTATTCCAAAAGATGGAACTCCATCAGTTACCAGAAGAAAATGCTAGGAAACCAACTAATTTTTCTAGAAAGTAGTAAATAAAAAGAAAAACTCAAGCATTTATTTGTCTTACCTGTACAAAGCGTACACCAGAGAATATATAATTAAATAATAAATAAATAAATATTATGGGAAAATTCTTCTTTATAGAAGAATTACAGTTAACAAATGCAGGAAAAAAATAATTAGAATAGATCATCAACATTTGCTAATCTTAATGAATTAACTGATCGAGGCTGATGGCTAGGCTATAATGGAAGGATCAACATGACAATATCTAAACCCACTGATCAATCTTGGCATCACAGAAAGTGAGACAACCAGATATGGTGTGCCTCTTTGTATGATACAGCAAATGTACACCCGCTTATGAAATATTCCTACCGAAACAAACAAACAAAAAAAACAGACAAAAAGAATACCACTGAATCTTCAGTTATCAGGTCTCTCTCAATTATTCAGGAAACTTGGGGCAGTGGAACATAATAAATGACATGAATTACTGTGGGTAATTCTGTTAGATAAATAACCTGGATTCTTCAACAAATAAAGAGCAGAACAACAAAAATCAGAAGTGGAATTTATAGATTAAAAGACAAGAGATACATCAACTAAGCGCAATGTGTAGACATTGTCTGAATCCTAATTCAAGCCTACCAACACACCAACTGTAAAAAGGAAAAAAAAAAAAAAGCCAGTAGGTCACTTAAACACTGACTGACATTTGATAGTATTAAGCAATTGCTGTTTATCGTTTTCAAGTGCGCCAGAAGTATTGTGGGTAACAAAAAATTCCTCTTTTGAGATACATACGAAAGTATTTACAGACGAAATGATACGATGTCTGAGGCTTCCTTTAAAAAGAGATGGCTGTGTGGAGGTGAGGGAATGAAAGAAAGATGGCTGTGTCTCCAGGTGTTGAAGCCACAGGATGGGGCATGGGAGGTGTCTGCTCTTTCTACTTTGGAACATCTTTGAAAATTTCCCTGATAAAAAGCTTCAAGTTTTTAGATTCCTAAAATACCACATGAAAACTAACCATTTCAGTGCGAAAAGCCATCTCCCTTTCCAACGTTGAGAGGTGAGAAAAGTGGCGATCATTTTCAAAGAGGTGTGTTATATGGCTCCTGCAAAAACAAAAGAGTTAACAGAGCAGCAGTGTTGAACTTAACGCTAAGTATTATTTTGAAAAGAAACCAAGAGCAAACATAAAAGAATCTAGAAATTTGCACATAATTTTGTAATGAAAGTCAAAGATAACGGTGTCCACATTTGTTTTTCCACTCTGTATGTCTTAACATTTCTACTAAAATTTCTATTAGAAAACACATTCAAATTAGATTTTAAAATTAGAATGAACCAGAATAACAATATTTTAAACTACGTACAATAAAACTATAAATGAACTATAAATGTCATTGGGTTCCCATTTCAGAAATATCTGATTAATGAAATTCATATTTCACTCTATCCAGAAGATTAAAAAAATTAATCTTCCTCTCAACATGAACACTATATTAACGTTAAGTGAAATAGAGCCTCAAATATAACCTCTTCAATAATGGATCTCTTTTTTTTTATTAAAAAATTACATTATTCTGACCTTGATTTATCAATTAAACTACTTTTTCAAGCTATTGTGTTGCCTGTAGTAATTAATATATATATATTCATCCTTATCATACTGAAATTTTTTTCTTTATATAAATGGGAAATAGCTTTGGCAAGTTGTAATGATCTGCATAAAATACATGAGAAGAAAACAATCTTACCAGTGCAACACTGCTGCAAAGGCAGCTGGAAGAAAAAAGAAATTTAAATTACTATGTTAGCATAAAGAAACGTGTTCACCTTATAGAAAAGCATTGCAAAAATAAGCATGGTAAAATTTGGGATATAAAATGTTGGATTCTTAGCGTTTGGGGAAAGAAGAGAGACTCTTTGGAAGAAACCCCAGGGCTATGCTTAAAATCCAACAGCCTGGATTACAAAAGAATTAGGCATGTATCTATAAATTTCATTCATTCACTCACTCAACAAAATGCGGGCCCTTTATTTGCCAAAAACTATCCAAGGAACCCTCACATGGAAACTTCCACAAACAGAACTGCCAGAGGAATAGAAACAACAGTAAGAAATAACTCAAGAATAAAGACATATGGTGACCTCAGGGCGCCGGACTGAGGATGAATAAAATAAGAAACTATCGTTTATTGTATATTGCTGCAATATCTGGATTTTTATGATAAATTTTACTATTTTTTAAACAAATTTATCATGAAATATAGTAAAGAAGGAAGGAAGAGGGAGGGCTGTTGACACAAAACAAGCAAACATTTTAGAATCTCTAAAATAAGAGAGTTTTACGGGAGCCCAAGTTAGGACAGATGCCCAAGAAACATGCTCTTCACAGAGAAGTGCTTCAGAGAGTAAACAGTTTTTACAAGGTTATATACTTTTTTACATCTTGTAAAAGCTCAAAAGATTACAGATTAGCATACAGGCAGCAAACATAAGTTTAATGTCAAGGAATGCAAGTAAGAGCAATGATCGATATCTTAAGGACAAGATGGTTTTCCTTAGGCTACTCATTTACAAAGCAGGTGTATAATGTAGGAGTGGTGGGCCATAAATCAGGTGTTTGTTTTAAACCAAGTTTATGTACAGTCATGCTGACTTAGAAAGAAATCTAAAATAACTTCCCTTATATCTCAGGCCTTTAGAGGTTTTTTGTTTTTGTTTTTTCTCTCATCAGGGCAGAAGGAAGAAAGAAAAGGTAAGGGAGAGAAAATAAGCTAATAATAAAATCAGTCTCATAGGAGAATCAATAGTTGCTTTCTGTCCAAGTACAAAAAACATATTAAGATGAATCCAAACGATACCAATTTTCTTATGCCACAAGATTCACCCTATTGGAGGCTTCTTATTGAATAACTACTAAGGAACTGAACTATAAAATACTCTTAGAAATGAAAACCAAACAGTCTAGATCTTATTGCCTTTTTCTTAAACAAGTATTTACATTTTTAAATATTAAAAAATGCATGTTACCTAGGAGATAGTAATGGTTATAAAAGACAGATCACTCCTTCTGGGTCACTAAAACTGCAAATATTTAACTAGGTTTGTCATTTGACATTTGTTATATATATTACTTGGATCTTCCAAAATTTTGATTTTTTCTTGTTGACAAATCTACCATCCATTTCTTTTTTGGTTTCTGCCTTCAAAGACTTCACCTCACCATACATAACACGATTTGGGCTTTATTTTCTCAATAATCTAACTATCATGTTCTGAATAAATCGTTCTCTCACTGAATGTAAATGCCATCTTTAATGTATGGAACACCTTACACCCTTCTACTTTGGGAATCCCTTTGAGATTGTAATTGGAGTTTCATTTATAAATTAATTTGGAAAGAAGCTACACGGTGATGACATGAATCCATATGTATATACCCATAAACATAGTACATACCTTCAATTATTCAACTTGCTTTTCAATTGCCCTTGACAAAAATCCTATCGGTAGAATTAATATAGTAGTTACATAGTTAATTCATATTCTCAAGTCTCCTTTGTGAGCTTAACATTTTTCTGCTAATATCCACGAAATCTTTTTTATTACACTTTACTGAATATTGTTAATGTACTTATTTTTGAAGTGTAATTATTTTGCCATGTATTTATTTTTGACTCGTACTAAATTATTAATTTTATTACCTTTTTTTGGTTTATATTCAATTGTCTAGTTTGAACAATATTATTTAAAAATAATAATTTTGCGGGGCACTTGGGTGGCTCAGTCCATTAAGCGTCTGACTTCCATTTGGGTCATGATCTCATGGTTCGTGGATTTGAGCCCCACTTCCCACTTCCAGCTCTGTGCTGACAGCTCAGAGCCTGGAGTCTGCTTCAGATTCAGTGTCTCCCTTTCTCTCTGCCCCTCCCCACTTGTGCTCTCTCTCAAAAATAAATGAACATTAAAAAAATTTTTTTAAATAATTTTGCTCATATTTTATAATTTTGCTGTTAGTATCTTCTTCCCACTTGACAACAGTAATAGACTTCTAGAACAATACTAAGTAATTCTGGTAAAAGAGGGCATCCTGCCTTCTACTGACTTCACTGGCAGTGCATTTCACATCTGCTTCTAAATTAGCCTCTAACCTTCAGGACTCTGTAGTGATAAATAGGATTTCTCAAGGCAATCACCTCTCTACTTCCTCAGAATACCACAATTCTTCAGGAGAAGAACGGAAGGAAGGAAGGTACCAAGTGGCCTTTGGTGCCTTCCTCTAACTCAATCCCTGAAGCACTAAACTGTTCTTGGAATTTGGGGCATTTGAATGGAGCTCTTTCATAGCCCCCAGGGTCGATTCATAATATGCTCAGTGTTTTCAATTCCTTTGCTCCTTTCAATTTAGTAGTAATAATAATAAAGCAGCTGACATTTTCATTCTTATTACATGCCAGGTACTTTTGAAGTGCTTTACCTAAACCAACCCAGTAGATCCCCACAACTATCCCATGGGGTAGACACCAGTATTTCCCCACTATATAGTGAGAAACTGAGGCTCAGAGAACTGGAGGAACTTGACCAAGGAAACAAAGCAAGTAAACAGAGAAAGGGAAGTTGAAGACAAGAACTTTAACGTGAAAGCCATACACTGCCTGGCCTCTTGAGGAGGACTGCGGGGGCAAGGGTAAGACAAAAGCCGGGGCTTCCTTACCTTAAATTATCTTGCTCCCTTCTTTCTTTTTTTTTTTTTTTCTTAAGATAAAAGGGGTGGAAAGTTGCAATTTATCTATTGATATATGCAGCATACTTTACAGAAACTACTAATTTTTACATAAAAATTTAGAGCTATGATTTAATTTATTCAAAATTGAAATAAGCTATGTGTGTGTATACATATATTTATATATATACATTTTTTTCATTTGAAAATGAAAGCCTCAGTAAGGCAGATACTGCCTTGTGAGCATATAATTTAAGCAGAAAGACATAAAATGACAAAAACTTCTGAAGGCACCCCTAAACAGCTTTTCTTGCATTCTTGCCTACAGAAAAGATTATAAATGATTTTTCTCTAAATTTAGTCCAGTGATCATCAACCCTGTCTATATAGTCTTTTGGGAGTGTCACAAAATTGATAATCCCTTTTTTTCCATTTTAATACACATGCTATTTTTTTTTTTTTTTTGTCATTCTAAGGTACTGTGGTGAATTTAGCTTTTAATCGGAACATTGAAAAACACCCGAACTTTCAAAAATCCAAGCCGATTCCATAAGAAGAAAAGTGTTCAAGGAAAGGTTTGCTGTGTAATCTAATTCAAAAGATTGCAATCCTATGGCTGAGAATTCTGAAAGGCTCTTATGTTTTGCTGGAAGCACTTAAATTACCAACACTCTGAAGCTAAATTGGACACTCCTTCCACTTTCTGATTAAAGAAATTCTGTACCAGATTATATGTCACATTATATCAATTTTCAGTTTCATGGGATTTGAGAGGCCTAGCCACTGAAAATTGTTCTTCTCCTGTTATTAGAATCGTGTTTAAACAAACTAGAATGTAACTCCCTGAGGGCAGAAACGATGTTTTACTGAGGTTTATACCACAGTACTTACAGGAAGCTGACCACAAACTGGAGCACACAGCTCAAATGAAATGTTTGCTGAATTAATGGGTACAACTTGATATAATTAAAGGGGAAACGAAATCATCTAAATCATGTCCACATAATAAGGTTGAATGTACTCTGATTGATGGATACACACACATACACTTGTATGTAAGTAATAGATTTTTTTTTCCAAAAAGTGAGTCCCCACTTACTTAGTGCAAATTTGACACCCCCACCAGCCTCCCTCTACAACCAGTCAGGTGCCTAAGCTTTTAGTTCCCCTCTCACCTGCAGCACAGCAGCAGGCAGCAAGGGAGGACGAGTGCCCCCAGGTGAGCAGGCGAGGTCCCAGAAGTCCACCCCAGCTCAGTTCCCTTTGACCCCTCTCCTTCTAGCCACAGCTCCCCAAGGTGGCCTTTGTTCTTTTCCTCTGGATTGCTCCACATCAGCAAGTCCAGTGTCTTGGGAAAACGGGGAGGGGACATCCCCTGTCCCCATCCCAATGCCTGGCCCACAGTGGTCAGCAGCAGCAGGGAGGGCAGGAGGAAAGGAAAAAGAAATGGGAGAAGGGGCTCTTCCATAGGTTCAGCTCAATCCTCCCTCAATGGCTCCTAAACCCTAATCCCTCTCTGCCCGGCACCCAGCCCCTGCCGGCCCTCACCTCCTCTCCCAGCCTCTTCCCTTCCCCCAACTTGCCTCACCCCAGCAGATGACTCAGAAGTCCAGAACCCCTTTATGAATACACCCACCAACCCCCATCTGGATTGCTGCGAAGTAGAGCCCTGTGATCTGCATCTTTAAGATACTCAGCTGAGTCTTTTGCACTCTAATGCACAGTCCTTTCCTTTCCTTTTCCACCTCCTCAAGGAGTGAGGGCAAGAACCATGAAGCCAAGGTGGGCTGCCTCTGCCTTTGCTCTCCTGTGCTAACCTGCAGGAGGCTCTCCTGCAGCCAACAGATATTTCTGATCCTGAATATATTATCCCATCCACGTTACATTGTCCCTTACATGTGTACTACGTAACTAGCATTTGACTTAAAACTCAGAGCTACCTTCACAAACTGTCTCATTTGATTCTCACACAGCAGTGGGAGTATTTATTCCTATTTTACAAATGAAAATCTAGGCCTTCAAGAGGTCATTTCCCCCAAAGGCACATAGCTGA